GCTGAGGGCGGCGCTGAGGGCGGCGCTGAGGGCGGCGCTGAGGGCGGGCGTGTGACGCCATCGCGGCGCGCGGCGGCGGGGTTCTCCATGGCCGCGCCGGAGGCGGCAGCACGGAAGCGGCGGCTGAAGGGGCATTTCGCGGCTCGCGCTAAGCGGCCCCGCGGCGGCGGCGGGCGGCAGCTGGAGGCCGGCATGCGCGGCATCCTCATCACCTGCAACATGAACGAGCGCAAGTGCGTGGGGGAGGCCTACAGCCTGCTGGGCGAGTACGGGGACCTGCTGTACGGCCCCGAGCAGGTGCGTGCGTGCGTCCGTCCCGAGGCGGGGCCGGGGGGAGGGCGGCCACGCGGTCTCCGCTCCGCGCCCTGACGCGGATCGCCGGCGCTGAGCGGCGTTCTGGCCGGCCCGCGGTACCGCCTGGCAGCTCCGCTCGGCGCTCACCGCGCGGGGCGAACCGTGTGCCCGCAGCTCTCGGAGCCCGCGGAGCGCCTGTCGGGGAGCGAGAGGGAGGAGGAGCGGGAGGAGGAGGACGATGACGACGACGCGGAGGCAGCGCTGAAGAAGGAGGTCGGACAGATCCGCGCCTGCACCGAGCGGCAGCTGCGGCGCTTCCAGTCAGTGGAGAGCGGCGCCAACAACGTCGTCTTCATCCGCACCCGCGGCATCGGTGGGTGTGCCGTGCCGTGCCGCGCCGTGCCGCGCCACACAGGGCCGGGGCTTCTCCTGGGGCCCGGGCAGCCCAGGAGGCCGGCGGCATCCTGTGCTGTATCAGCAGTAGGCAGCCAGCAGGACGGGGAGGTGACCGTTCCTCTGTTCTCAGCCCTGCGGAGGCCATGCCTCGAGAGCCGCGTTCGGTGTTGGGCTCCTCACTGCGAGAAAGATATCGAGGCCCTGGGGTGCGTTCAGAAAAGGGCAGTGGGATCTGCGAGTGGTCTGGAGAATGAGTCTCATAGGGAGCAGCTGAGGGAATGGGATGGTTCAGCCAAGAAAAGAAGTCCCGCAGGAGGCCTTACTGCGCTCTACAACTCCTGAAAGGAGGTTGTGGGGGGCGGGGGGTGGACCTCTGTGCCCAGCTAACAGCAATGGGATGAGAGGGAATGTTCAGGTTGAGGATTAGGAACAATCTTTTCTCCAAAAGTGTGGTCAGACCCTGGAATGGGCTGCCCAGTGAGGTGGTTGAGTTGCCATCCTTGCAGGCGATCAAGAGCAGGGGAGATGTGGCAATGAGGGATGTGGTTGGTGGATAAATTTTGGTGGTAGGTGGACAGTTGGGTGAGGTGATCTTAGAGGTTTCTTCTGGCTGTAATGATTCTACCATTTCCCATTGTCCTTCCCACTGGTTTTGCAATTAGCGGAGTTTCTGAAGGCAGAGGAATCGGCCTTGACAGAATGATCCACAGCTACCCAATTTTGGTGCATGGAAAGAATTCTCAGAAAAGGGTTTGAGGCTGAGCGCTGTGCAGCTAAGCGCGCGTTTCCCCAGCTTATACCTTTGGGGGAGGAACAAGGGAGAAGATCCTTCAAATTGATTCTCACACCTAGTTGTTTCCTTGTAGAACCTGAGAACCTGGTGCACCATATATTAAAGGACATTCATACCACTAAAAAGAAGAAAACCAGAGTAATTCTGCGCATGCTGCCCATTTCTGGAACTTGCAAGGCTTTTCTGGAAGATATGAAAAAATACACAGAAACGTTTTTTGAGCCTTGGTTTAAAGCCCCCAATAAGAGTACTTTCCAGATCGTTTACAAAGCTCGTAATAACAGTCACATGAATAGAGAAGAAGTAATTAAGGAGCTGGCAGGTACGTATAGATCACATACAGAGCTGAACCTAAGTACACAAGCGGCACACGGCTGCATGCGTAACAGGCTAGGCTGTTTGAAGGAAAGAGCTGTAAACAAGGAGGCATATTTGTTGCTTAACACCTGTATGTTGGGTTACAAAAATGTCTCTAAGGCTCTGAAAAGAGCTTGACATCAGTGTTTCCTGTTGATGTCTCAAGAGATGACAAAGCAGAACAGCATGCAGTAGTGAATTCTATTTGGTGTGTCAGTTATACGTGGTTTGAAATGACTACATCAAGTTGTTTGAATGCTATACTGAAATACACACATTCCTATTTCCATTTAATGTGGAACTTGAAAAACAGCTCTGCAACAAGTTGCATACTTTGGCGTCTTGTTTCTTGCTAGTTACAATGAGATAATTTAGTTACTGTAGTCCTCCTGGTAGTATTTCTTAAGAATCCTAGTCTGTTCTGCTGTTTTACACAATTGCAGTAACTAATGATTGGTCACAAGTAGAGGGTTGTTATCTCCTCTGACTTGTGTTCCATTCAGGAGAGTAAACTGATGCTCTGAAACTGTTTTCCCAACGTTTTTTAAACTATATTTTGTTTTACAGGAATCGTGGGCAGCCTTAATCCAGAAAACAAAGTTGATCTCAATAATCCACAACATACAGTTGTGGTGGAAATAATAAAGAATGTTTGTTGCTTGAGTGTGGTGAGAGACTATGTTCTATTCAGAAAATACAATCTACAGGAGGTGGTGAAGAGCAACAAAGAAGACATACAACAAAACCCATCAAATGTGTCTGAAGAACAGAACTCAACAGCCGTAAAACCAGAAACCATGGAAGAGAACTTGAAGGAAGTAATACAAGAACAAGAGTGATGGTGCAATGGGAGCTGAACTCCATGGGAATTATATGCAAGCAGTGTAGGAAATGTGGTAGAAAAGAAAGATGGACACAATAGAAATAAACCTATAAAAATATTGCCTGAGAATTCAGAAAGGAAAAGTGGGTTTTGTTTTGGAATCTTGCTTTTAAAATTCATATGGAAGAATTGTAATGGTTGCTGCTGGTGGAGCTGACGCTGCTGTGGGTTTCCAAGTGCTTCACCTCTGGTGAGGTTTGCTGCCATCCTTCAGCAGCTTTGTTCAGTCTTTAGCTAGCACCAAAGTGTGCTTCCATGCATGCATCTATAAAGGCTGCCAGCCTGCCATACACTGAACTTTCTGTCCTATCTGATGGATACAGAAATCAGAAGGCAGGGCGGAATGAGCTCTGCCAGGAGGTGTCATCAGAAGTGAGGGGCCTGAACAAGACAGTTGCTTGGAGAGGGTTTTTAGGGAAGTGATCTGACAACTTTTGGGGCTGCAGAATTCAAATCTATATTTCTACAGGAACAACAATGTGAGCTCAAAATCCTGATTTTTTTCCTCCTATGTGCATCTCTGAAAAAATATGATAAGTCTTGAAAGGGCATTGGAAGAATTGCTGTGATCGAAGTACTTGAATTCTATGAGAGGATGCAGAGTAATAGATGGGACTGCTGTAGAACAGAGGTATCTGCAGGCATTGCAGATGATTTCAGGAAAAGCTCCATGTGTGTGCATCAGCTGTGTATACAGCAGTTTTCAGCTTGCAGCAAATGCTGCATGCAGCCACTTAACAGAATCCTTTCCAACAATTTATTGCAAATAGGTTTTTGTTGGGGTCTTTTCAGAAGCATAATACTTGGGAGCAAAGTTATGAGGTCTGTGTTTTTGTTTTTTCTTAGATCTCAAAATTTGGATTTAAAAACTGCTTGGAAATTTCTTACGAGGAGCTCTGCAGTGCCATATTGGATAAGGCGATATGAGCTTGGCTTTTCATACAGGTTTAGCCTCACAACATTCATTTTGTTCCATGTTGAAAATGAATGTCTGGGTTGTCAGTTTGTTGTGGCACTTCTAGATATCACGGTGACTTTAAAACAAACCAAGCCAAAGAGTGCAGCTGCAGCCTGCTTCCTGAGGGGCTGGAGCACTCTTCCTGCACAGCTGCCTAGCGTCAGTGCTCCATTTCTAGTGCAGATGCTCGTGGGTTGCTCATGGGAAAAGCCTGTCCTGAAGAACTCTGCTTTTTCCTTCCCTGATTTAGCAGGAACGATTTGTTCAGGTCTCTCTCAATAGTGTTTCCATTTTCCTCTTCTCTCAAAACTGTTACAGAAGTGGAAACTAAAGAGGGCTTTTTCTCTTGTCCAGTCTTCCATACCATTCGGTTATTAAAGATCTGCTTTCTTACCTCCATCAGTGTTTTCTTCTGAAATTTAAAGCTTTTTGCATATGGATGAAAACTGACAGTGCTGAGGTTATCTGGGGCAGACCTGCTGGAGCTCAGGCACAGCAGCCAGCTGCCACGTTTGGTGGGAGCTGATGTTGGTCAGTGTGGCTGGAAACAGCCCACTTGGTATTACAAAGGCCAAGGGCTCATGGATACCTGTGTAGAGGGGCTGGTTATTTTTTCCTTCTATCTGTCACTCCAAAATGCAGGAAGCTGCTGAATAACTCCCATTCCATCTGCCAAACCTGTGTCTGACACACAGGTGCTGTCTCTGCTGCAATCTCAAAGGTGTACATGTGTGTTTCAGTTGGTTTGTTGTTTTCTTTGTTTGTTTCTTTGGGTTTTTTTTTTTTTTCCAGTTTTTTTTTTTTTTTTTTTTTTTTTTTTTTTT